AAATATATGTACCAAGTTTGAACGAAATCCATCCATAAATGATTGTTTAGCACAAAAAAGGCTACCATTTGGCCATTTTGAATAGGATCGTCAAACCAATATATCTGTCTATCTATGACATGATGTATAATGAATATATTTACAATTTGAACATAATCAGTGAAAGCAAGTCAGAGATATGGCACGAGAACCACATTCATTAATGCAAAATGGCCGCCAGTCGGCCATTTTGAATCTTATCTGAAAAACAAAATTATTTGCATCAAGGTCCCATAATGTCTAATGTATATACTAAGTTTGAACAAAATCCATTTGTAAACAGCCGAGGAATGGTTGATTTTTAGGTTTTTTTAGCACAAAAATTGCTGCCATTCGACCATCTTGAATCAAATCGTAAAACAAAATGATGTGCATCAAGGTCCTATAATGTCTAATGTATATACCAAGTTTGAACAAAATCCATCTGTAAACAGCCGAGAAATGGTTGATTTTGATGATTTTTAGCACAAAAATGGCTGCCATTCGGCCATCTTGAATCAGATCGTGAAACAAATTGACGTGCATATGTATAATATTATGTATGAACAAGGACTCACCATTCTAAAATATATATGTAGTAAAGTCTATGTCGAGTATAAAATACTTTTTGACATCCAGGCTTTTAAACAATATACAGTAAGGTTTTGAAGGAGATAACAGACAGAGAATTCTTTATTCAAAAATGTCAACCTTCCTGCTACAGTAATAAGCTAGATGTCACAACACTACTTACGTCACATCACCTTGTCTTATGCAGTCACAGATTTGAAGAGTTGCATCCCAGTCAGGTTCCAGTAATAACTGACTAGTTGCTTTATCTAAAGGAGAAACAAAAAAATTAGATATAATAACAAATGATACATAATGTTTTCATCACTTGTGAATGTGATGAAGCAATTTATAATAAAAGATCCTTCCAACTCATTATTAATTATAATACATGTATCTTAAAAAAACAAACTTGGCTGAGATAGCTCCGCTGTTGGCAATGCACATTTCAATTAAAGACCTGAAGATATCAATAGAAAAAGAACAAATTTGAGAGTGGTCTACCTAAGGTACCCAAAATGACAAAGATATTCATCAAAATTATAGAATTTAAGAAATCATCACAAAATGGAGAAATCTAAGAGAGGTTTGCCCAAGGTACATATACACCAAGTATTAAAGCAATAAGAATTGTAGTTTTTGACACAGGCAATGCCAGATGCCTAACTATGCTCGCGAACTTGGCCTTAGGCCAACTCACCACCCTATTCCAGAATCCTAGATCCGCCCCTGGTGAACGGGTAAACTATGTTCAGAAGTGACCTGTTGTAGACTGAAATGTGTTGAATGCTTCCTCCACAAAAAAATTTCACCATTTTTTTTTTGTTTTGTTGAAACCAGTGCTAACAGATCCTATTTTAACATCATGGTAATGCACTTCTGCATTACATTAAAAATGCCATCATCAATATGCAGAAATTCCCAAAGATTTGCATCAGTATGACACAGCATTCTGATTGGTTAATAACAGACTTGAGCTGTCAGGCCAGAGTACATTGTTTCAGATCAAATCATACAGAACCACATGAAGAAGCTCTTCATTCAAAAAGACATAATATTCCTTCTAATCTGGCATACAGTGAACGAAAATTGTTATTTAGACAATGTTTTGAGAGGAAATGACATAATTTACAGTGTTAAACAAAATAATTTTCATCTTCTTTAAAGTGGTCCTCAGGTATACACCAACCCCTCACTTTCCCTGATTTTACATGTTGAGATCCCTGGGCTTATGACTAGGAAAGTACATGTACAGTAGATAAATTATTATGGTTATGTGATGGCTACAGCACATGATATAAATCACTGATATGAAGCATGAGTTGTTCTGTAACCACAAAGTGACCATGCCCCATCAAATATATACCACTGAATTGGGGACTTTACAACAAATCAAACAATTGGTGTTTAAAAAGAATACAGTTTTCAATTTGTTGCATATCGGTATTCTGGATATTTTGATAACAGATATCATGCCATAACCAGTAATGGGCATATAACCATACACCTTTGATTATGACATATGTGTATGTGTAGAATAATAACTAAGGAAATAAAAGAATTCTCATTGGCCAATACAAGACAGATGTGATAGAAACAGTTGTAATCATGTGACAGAACTCCACTCATTGTGAACGAGTGAGACTTAAATTGATGTATGAACAAAAACTTTGAAAACACACTGTTAGTGAAATGTCTCCAACAATAAGCAGATGTTTGTAATTACAGTATACTGATAACAGTGGTCATATTGTAAACTGATGAGTCACAGCATGGACATACATGTACATACAAAGGTCATATGTTGACAACATCAACGATAATATATGAACAATATAGCTTTCTTGTAGTGCTGGTAACTATTTAGTCAACATTTACTTTAGACATACATGCTTTAGATGAACATAAAATTTTTTTTTTATAAATACAAATGGACTGAAATTAAACTTGGTCACGGTTGGCACTTAGGCCGTGGTTTATAGTCCAATGTCCAGTCGTATTTTACTTGCTTGCTGGCATAGGGCTATGGCGAAAATGAACGTTTATGCCCTGTGAACATAATCGTAAGGGCCATTTAACAGTAATTTTAAACACATTTTGAAATATGTAACCAATCTTGAATAAATGAATTTTTCATTTGTGGATAGACTAAAGCTAAAAGCTAAAATTGTTTTCAGCCAAGTATTAAGGGATATAAATATTTGGCCTTGCGTTGTTTTGGTAGAATTGTGCTGAATTGTATCATTCATTCTAATTTTACAGAAATCTTGTAATCATGAATTTTCACATATTTGTGTAAGAAATTTATCCAGGTTAATGATATCTGGGTATTTTTATAGAGACTATGCCAGCATTGTTTACATCGACTGAGAGTCAATCTATTTAGTCAGTCTGCTTAGAAAAGAAATTTACCACTTTGTTTATGGAAGTTCTGGCAGCTCAAGATAAGGACTGACATAAAAACAAAAACGTCAACAAGAATAAAATAAAGGTAGGGTGACATGACACTGTGTGTGTGAGCATGTGTGGCGCATAATCAAAGCACCACACATGCACTCTACTGACACATGACTGTTTCTTATTCAATCATAAGAAAGGCCGTAACTATTCTCTTATGCATTCATAAAAACTTTAAAAACTATTGTACAATCATGTTATGAATATCTTCAGAAAGTTTTATAACATGTACATGTACTAAAGACAAGGGCAAAGGTTTCTTTTGTACCCCCCATCCCTAACCCTAACTCTAACACTCACTCCCAATTCATTTGTATATGCTCCCTCTAGATAACTATAGATGTCCTTACGAGGGGCATGTACAATTAAATGGGGAGTGCTGGAGGGTAGGGGTAGGATTAGGGATGTGGGGTACAAAAGGAACTCTTTCCCCGATCAGAAAACCGATCAACTTGAAAGATCACCGGTCCTCCGAAAGG